TTGTGTTTGTCCCCCTCCCTAATGCATACCCAAAAGTATGCATCTCGTGAATCTATTTTAATAAAGATCTGGCCTTGCGAGGCCTCGGCTAACAAGTCTTTGATGAGGGAGAGGGGGTACACATTTGACATAGAAACAGCATTCAACCCTCGATAATCCATGCACAGCCTCAACCCCCCATCACTTTTCTTTCAAAACAGTACTGGTGCTGCAAACGGGGAGCCTGGCTAATTGGCTTATGGAAAGGGGGTGTGCATACGAATACCCTATATCCCATTATGCTTGTAGGACCGTTGCCATTCTTAACAGTGACTTTGTTAATGGATCTATAGCTCTTCAATAAAGTATAACCTTTCTGATAAGCATGTACTCCGTTGTTGGCTGTGGAACCTGACAGTGGCCACTGTTACATTTTCCAGATTTGCTGGCATATTATACATAGTGTTTAGGACAGAGAATATTTTCCCTTCCATCCTCTTCATTATAATTTTAAGGTATTATCCATAAAATACAATATTTCTTATTTCTATTGGGGTACAATTGTATTCATCATTTATGTTTTAAGTTTCAAACTTAATAACTAATCTATTTTGGCTACAACACTGGCTGCATTACTACTACATATTTTTGCCACTTCTACATATTCATTAGAATCTTTAATAAATAAGTAGTATATCACAGTGTAAAAGAAAGTAATATATAGAGAACCCATTTGTATTGCAGGTATTACTGTTGGAACAGATTTTAATTCTACTTCTATTTCATTACCATATATTTGTATATGATATTTTTTTCGCTTTAAGTTTGTCTCCTGATAGCCGAATACACATAATACACACTCCATGTCTCCTCAAATTTTGTAATAGATCTGTTTCTCAAATAGGTAGTTAACTTTGCCATTACTGCATATTCAGCAAGTTTATTTTCCCATTCATCTAAAAATGGACATATGCCTAGTTTCCATTTTGCTGCGTATATAGTTCTAGCCACTGTCACCATGTATTTGAATTTCTCTTCTAAATTTTTTGGTAATTTGTTAGGCAGAACACATAACAGTATACTCTTGGCTTCCATTGGGAATGTAAACTTTAATATATTCTGCATTATAATGTATTTCTTTCCAGTATTGCTTTTTTTCAAGTCCACCATATATGAAAGAAGGTTCCATCTATGCCTTGACATTTATAGCTAGGGTTGCCAGACAGGGCGGGGATTTCCCTGATTTTTTGGGATTCTGCCTGCTGCCAGCCACCTGGCTGGCAGGGGAAGCCCCACCCCCAAATAGGGACATTGTGTGGTGACACTCTGATTTTGGGGCAAAACTCTATGGTTTTAGGCCAAAAAACCCATAGAGTTTTGCCCAAAATGCTGAGTGTCACTGTGCAACTTCCCCAGTGTGATGACATCACTTCCGTGATGTCATTCCCATTGTTGCATAGATATCTGTTCTTTAAGGTTTTGCATCCACTTAATCGTACATTTCTTCACTTGTTCATCTTCCATTTCTACCTGGAGTAAAATCTTATATATCCATCATAGTAAATGCTCTTTTCGTTTTATAATCAACTGCTCAAATCCAGTTGTATCTCTTAGAACTCCACCTTCAATACTCATAATCTCCTTTAGTCTTGAGAGTAATTGATAATATATCAGCCATTGAATGTTTACCCCTTCATCTTCAATATCTTGCCAAGACTTGATTTTTGCCTGAGTGTTTACCATCATGCCATATGTTATAAAATCATTTTTATTTCTCATGTTCTTATCACAATGTGCTTCTATTGGGGACATAAGCAAAGAGTTTGAGGGGTTCAAGAAATTCTGGCATGTAAACCATATTCTCAAAAGTCCATCTCTGATTATGTGACTTCTTTCTTGTGTTATGAGATCTTTTTAGTTGATCTCTTAATCTGTAAATAATTGTGTAGGCCTTCATCAAGATCTGCTGATTCTAATTTTACTATTGTTTGTCTTGGGTACTTAATCCAGTCCACAATTCAGACCAGACCTGCTGCTTGTAATATAATCTTATATTTAGGACAGCTAAACCTCCTCTCTTTTTCTCATCTTGTAATGTTTTGAAGCTTATTCTTGGTTTTTTGCCATTCCTGGGCCCTTGAATCCTTGACTCTCAAGATGCTACAGAGATTAGAGAGGCCATAAGCATTCTTGCCAAATACTGGCCATTTTGAAAAAATCCCACCTCCATATCTACCAGCTCCCATCTGGTCTGAAATACCACATGTTCAATACCTCATGTTCAATCATCAACATCTTGCTCTAGGCGAGGATTCCCCCGTCATCACTAAGAACTCACAAGAGATATTCAAATATTCAATATGCTACCATGAACAGAGAAACCACATGGTTAATGGTAGTGCTGACAAACAGGTGTGGGTCTATGTAAGTGCTGCTCCTGGGTGCAGATAAGTAAGTGGTGCTACACACTCTCTGTCCCATAGTGGTGGCACTTCTTCCAGTTGTTGTATGAAATGGCTGAGCCTCAGCTGTGCACACCAAGTGAAGAGCTCATGCTTCTGGAGCAAGCCTCCTTTTAAATGCACAGCAATCCCATACCTGACAAAAATATGAAGATATATCCATTAGGATTAGCTTTCATCTCAGCATCCCCCTCCCAGAGCAAACAGAATCTCCAAACAGCCTGTTTAACCTTTCATCAGGGCTAATCTGTATTGGTGAATCTATCCTCAATTAATTTGTAATCCCCTTCTAAAGTGATCTAAATTACTCTGATTTAATGGATTCAAATGTCATGTGGGACCAAGGTTTAAACTATGGTTGGTATAATTGTTTGAACACAAGCCACTCCTCTAACTATGGCTGTTTAGAATCTGTCAAAAATGGGATATGAAACTATGATTTGGAGTCGGTTTAAGAACCACAGTCTTAACTGTGTTTTTGTGTGATGCAGGATACAGATATTCAAGCTTTATCTTGGCTTCTTCTCCAGAGCTACCCTAATCCACTTGCTGGTTACAGAGATACCTCACCAGAGCAAAGGTGATGATCAATATTTGTCAAGGCAAACCAATATTTGAGTGACCACTGCAACTTGAATTCTGGTTTCACAAATGAACACGATTTTATATCTTAACTGAGACATTGTCTCAGTCCCTTGAGTCATTTATATCTAATCAAGTGGGATGGGGAGGAAGAGAATAACACGACTCTTTCAGTGGTGGCTCTTCCATTATGGAACCTACCTGAGCTACAGTCTAAAAAATCTTTATTCTGATGTTATATAGCCACTATGTCAAATATTTTATTTTAACACTCCATGAACCACCTTGAACATGTTGATAGAGCAAGCAATAAAGGGATAAATGTAAAACTGTATCAATATGGAGAACCAGCTAGAGGTTCTACCAAAGATTTTAGCTTCATTCTTATAGCCACTAGTTGCTAGGGTGGCCAACATCCACATGGTAACTAGAGATTTCCTGGATTACAGCTGATCTCCAGGAGACAGGGATCAGTTCACCTGGAGAAAATGGCCACTTTGGATGGTGGAATCTATGACATTATACCCACTGAAGTCCCCCTCCCCAAATCCCACTGTCCACAGGCTCCACCCCTCAAATCTCCAGGTTATTTCCCAACCCAGAGCTGGCAACCAGACCAGTCACAGAAGAATCTCATTTAAAGAGAGCTGTACTCCAGAATGAATGGGTCCAGCCATTTTGTAAAAGCAGCAGAAAGAAAATACTGCAATAACAAAAATAAGTTCACCCATTTGATTTTATTTTCTTACAAAAATAAACAATTTAAGAACAAAAGTACAAAAAGTTCTGAATGTACAAACTAGAAAACAGTATGACATTTTGTCACTTTTTAACATCTTCTTCCTTGCTTTCACTGAAAGCATATGATCTAAGACGCACATTACGTGTAAAAGTTTTTGTTGTTTCTATTGCATTATTAAGGCTTGGTTTCATTTGCTGCTGTTCAGGTCATTCATTCTTAAAGCTTGTAAGCAGCACTTTCAAAGAACCAGTAACAGAACTGTGTAACTTTCTGTTGTAAAATACACTTGGAAATTGTGCTGTTCCTTCTTATCAGCAGCTCCGCTGATGTATCGGAGATACAATTCTGTGCGAATGCTAAAGGCAATGGCCAGTCCCAACATGACATGCTGAGGTTCTTCAGGTATTCTCCTGATCATCTGCAGAAGTTATGGCTGTATGAATTATCCACATTGCTCCCCCCCTAGGGCATATAATTACTTGGATACACCAACAATCCAGAGTACCTCTCACAGCTGAATCCCTTAAAAAATGACATAGATAACCCATTCTGGAAACCTGAGTATATGAGCCTTTCAGCTGAATCTATGTGGAACATCTAATATATGTGTGTCCCATACATTTGCAGTGCAGTCCTAAACAGACTTACACCCTTCTACGCCCACTGACTTCAATGGATGTACAAGGGTATAACTCTGCTTATGATTGCACTGCAAAACTGTTAGGTTTATACTTAGGACTAAACTAGATGTGACAGTACCCTCATGGCTGCCATGAGGACACCACTATTATTTTAAAGTAGTCATTTATAAAGTGCTGTGAGCACCTACAGCATGGTGGGTTGAGGCACTCTCCCCTCCCCACACACACAAAACTTACCAAGAACCAAAACAGCCATACCCCCCACCCGTGACTGTTCGGGCACTTAAAAATATCTGGGGGGGGGGACAAAAGCACCATGTTGGGAGCCCAATCAGGATCAGGCCCTCATGAGGTTTTTGACTTTGAAATGGTGGCAGCTTCCTTGTGGTGGTCACAAGGATGCCATCATATCTAGTTTGGCCCTTACAATGAATGACATTGGTCAACATTAAACATTTAAGTTACATGTTTAGTTGAATCTGGGATGAGGTAAATGAGACATACACTAGTCTTAAATTAAATTGCACAGTTTTGATCAGCTGATTATATATATATAAAGCCACTCCAGGTTTCTGTCTTGTTGTAATTTCTAGTGCCCACTTTCTACCATTACCATGGTGTGGTGCCCAAGAAGAACCTATGTAAAATTGAAGACTCGATTGTCAATGGCTCTCATTACGTTATACAGGAAGCTGCATATTAAAATGGCTGCAAGAAGAACAGCACTTCCCCCACATGAAGTTAAGGTCACTAAGTCCCCAACTCAACAGTGTGAGTTCATACTTCTACTTTCCCCCAAATAAGGGCATGATTTCTACTCAGTCCTATGGCAAAAGTAAATTGTCCGCACTCAGGGACATCACTGGGCAGGAAAAATCCTTGTCCCTCATCCATGAGGATAGGTGCCATAAAGATCTGTTTGACTCATTGAGCCAACTCCAGAGGTCTCCATAATGTGCCACTCTCCATTCTTTACAGTGATGGCTGCTGTGCTAGTTTACAGTAAATGGAAAGCTGGCTACACATTGAATCTATCAATTCTGTTTGATCCACTGAACAAGGACCATAATGGGTTTTGGTCATGCATATTTGGTGCAACAAACCATGAGCGTTGATTGTCTTTGAAGCGGTTTGATCTTTAGTTTTGGAACTCATGAGGTCTTTCAGTGCTGTGGTGATTGTACTTGTCTACATAAATAATATTTGAACAGAGGTCTCAAGCTTCCTATGGAAAGGAAGAATTTCCATCCCAACCCTATGAAAAAAAGCTTAACATAACATTTATAATCCTAATAGGAAAAGCAACCTAAGGCTGACCTTTGCTTTCTAACTATCTATGGATAGCCACACAGTGTATCTATCACATTTTGGATTTCATTCTGCTTCTTCTTTTTTAAAAAAAAATCACATTTTAAAAATGTCATTCTATTGCACATTCGTCCTGGTCATACAGGTGTCTTCTTTAAAGTTTGGTTTCACACTCCATAGATGAGAATGAGTGATAGTGCAATTCCCTCTCCATTCTTAGCTTCCTTGGATGCAACTGCGGCCTACATTTATATGCAAACTGCTACCATTATTGACTAGCTGGACTAGGGCAGCAATTCTATACACACATAGTGGGGAGTAAGGCCGATTGAACTTCATGGGAGTTACTTCTGAGTAAACTTGCATAGGATTGAACCATCAGTCACTTTCTCTTTCAATGCATCACTTTCACATATGTTGTCTTGTCATGATCAGACATAATGGACGTGGATCCCATCTTAAAGTAGACAAGCTGCCGACCTGTACAGAAGACAACAAAAAAGGAGGCAAGGAGACACAGTTAATAGAAATGAGGAGCATACTCTAGATCTGTCAATAACACTCTAAAGTCATCCAGGAGTGCCCTCTGCATTTACCATCTAAGCACCGTCAAGATGATAAAAGTTGCCTAGATAGAGACATTCTCAGTGGCTACTCTTCAGCTTTTGGATTCTATTGCCTCAAAGACTCACCAAAGCCCAGATCTAGACATCTTCAGGAAATGGTATAAGATGGTTTGATTCCAATTGGATTTGGGTAGCTTGGATAGATTGTGATAAGGGCTTAATCACGCGTAATCATTCTGACAAATTGTTACCTATGCAGATCCATCTGCATGCGGCAGGATCATCAAATCAATGAAACAGAATTAACATCACCATATTATTGCCACTGACTACCAAGGGTGAATATACATATTACATTCATTTTATTTATTTTATTGTTCATTGATAGGCTGCCTTGCCCCCCCCAACCCGGAAATACAATTCTATTGCATGATAAAAATCCTTAAAACCCACAACAATCCAATTGAACTCATCAAATTAAGAGATGAGGCTGTGACTGAGAATGATATCCCCTTGCCAATGTAACACATAAAATAGCTTTACCCGTGTTGTAACATTCTCACATTGTACATTTCCCTGCCCCAAATCAAGGGTGAATACACACATTACATTCATTTTATTTATTTTATGTTCATTTATAGGCTGCCTTGCTCCCCCCCCCCAGAAATACAATTCTATTACATGATAAAAATCCTTAAAAACCACAACAATCCAATTGAACTCATCAAATTAAGAGATGAGGCTGTGACTGAGAATGATATCCCCTTGCCAATGTAACACATAAGATAGCTTTCTCACATTGTACATTTCCCTGCCCCAAGGTATGGAGCACAGTGGGGAGAACTCACCTTGTGATGACATCATGCCTCTATTAAGTATGCCTAAATAATGCATGGGAGAGGCAAAGAATTCAAATCAGGGATGCCAGTAGTGTGCAGTTCTGCCCTACAGCTCAGGGACAGTCTATACATAATTTCAGGATCCTGTGCTTAGAATTTCATATGTACTGTTCGTATAGCAATTAACCATGTGTGAGCCTCACTGTGGATCAAAAAAGCCATAAATCAAAGCCACTGAAGGCTAGAAGGCACCCAGATTTGTAGAAAAACCCAACTACTAATAAATATGTATCTAAGGGATTAAAATAACCAAAAATAATTTAAAAATGAGCAGCCATGCAAAAAAGTTTGGATGACATATTGTGTTGCCAAAGCAACCCAAGTGTTGCATGAAAATGAGGCAACAATGACCACCTCAAGCAGGCAACAAATGGAAACCAGAACCATCAATGGCTAGACTCCTTGCCCATCTGCTTCATCTGCCCCCCCCCCTTGCTGAGTGGGACAGGACTGGAAAGGGAAGAGAGAAAGAGGACAGGGTGGGGGACCAAGTGGGCAGACGAACAGAGGATGGGAGGGAAGCAAAAGCAGGCAGGTAAGTAGACTGAGCAGACAGAAGCAACACCTGGCAGATGGGTGGGTAGAGGGAAGACTGGACAAGTGCAAGAAAGTACAGGTGGAGAACTTCAACAGCTGGAAGAGAAGGAGGGAAGATCATGCAGGAAAAGCAGGTGAGCAGGGGGCAAGAGAAAGAGCAAGTAGGTAGTTAGGTGGGTGGGAGAGAAAATAGGAGTCAGAGCAAGACTGGGGGAAATGGAGGACAGTGGGGCAATAGGATTATCAGTGCTCCGTGAGTCTTCACAAGTCCCCTCTTCTTTAATCCTAAAATGTAATTGTGGTGGGAAGAGCAATAGTGCTTCTGGTGAGTGGGTTGACTCTTCCCCTCTGCATCATTTCCCTGATTGAAAATGTCCTCCTCGATCCATGTGGATTAAAGTAGTTTAGTAGGGAAGACTGAGAGATACCTCCAGAAGATGGAAGGATATTTTCATCTACGGAAATGGCATGGGGGGGGGGGAGAAGAGTTTAGCTTCCCTTTCTTGTGCATGCTCCTAATAAATATCAGGGGTCTCCCATGACTTTTTTTCAGAGCCAAATCACATGTTTAAAGTTCCAGTCATAGAACTCCAGTGTGACATGCAGTTTCACTCTCACGTTTGGCCAGCAAATTCACGCACACACACAAAGTGAGAAACTGAAGTCCACAATTTAAAAAAACCAGAAAAGTCACTTCAGAAAACAAACAGAAAAGTTAACTTCAAAATCCCAGCCTATTCAACTGGGAATCATGTTGTACCATGTAGACCAAACAGTTGTTTTGCTAGTTTTTAAACATTTAAGAGGTTTCCCCACATGGTTTAAGTTATCATTTCAGTTATTATTGATTTGTATAGTTATAATTGATTGACTATTATTTATCATTTCTTATGAGGTGATTTGATATTCTAGGGCAGGAGAGAGAGTAAAAAACAAAATGAAGGCACTCAACATACCAAGACATAAAGCACAGGACACCTAAGACATGCATTCTCCCAAAGTTCCCTGAGGTCATTTGGGGCTGCCCTTCAAGACAGGTTGTATTTGTTATTATCTGCTAGTGCTGAGACAGCAAGCTGTGGCCTCCTACCCATCAAAGGAGGATCCTGCTTACATTTCATCCAGCTGGAAGCAGTCTCCCGGCACACACATGCTAATCTCTATGGCACTCGCCACGACCGATAAAGGGAAGGTGCTGGAATGTATTCCACAGGATCACTCCTGCAGCTGCTCAGCCTTCCTCTACCTTCTGCCTCAACTCAATGCAAAGAACACTAACTTCTCCCATATCCTGCCTCTCCTGACTGCGGCCACCAGCAATGTCATATGGTGTTCTGAATGTCAGTTCCTTAGTATGTGGGAAAGTGGGTTTTCCCCCCCACATGTACCACCCTCCTTGTCCTGCAGACAATTAAGTGCATTCCATGTGTTCTTACTAGAATCTTGAAAGATCAGTTCCCATCTTTAAATTGACAAGCTCCTCGCTCTCATGACAGGAATCCAGCAGATTGCATAGGCATGTGGGATGAGAGCAGTAAAGGATTCTCTTATGTTAAAAAAATAATCAAAAGCAACAGCTCCTTCAACCTATCATTGAAGGTTCGCCAACTTTAGTCCATCAGCTGTTCTTTTAGCAAAAAAAGACCGGAGAATCCTCCTCCTCAATTCTGTCCTTTTAATTCCAAGGCAATGGCAAAGAATTTGATGCTGACACAGAGTGTGACATTTCAGATCTAAACAGGTGTGCTTGGAGCAAAGGGCAGAACAAAAGACCACATCAACTACTACCAGATCCATTTCAATAGAGATCTCCTGGATTGAAGTTGGGACTTTCTGCATGCCAAGCAGAAGTGCTACCACTGAGCCACAGCTCCAACACATGATGCCCATCAATGCATCATACAACCACCATCTCACCTCCTTCACTATGGGACAGCAAATGTCTAAGGACTGGGTAGATCTAATTTTAAACATACAGTCAAGTGACAGCAAGGCTGAACCTTCCTCTTGCATCCATCATGGACCCAGCCTTCCAGCTGGTGAATAAGAGCAAGCCACTCAAAAGATATTCTGTTCCGAGTGAGATTGCGGGTGGCAGAAGAATGGGGGAAATCTGATTTACCTTTGTAACCTTTATAGCCTGGTAACAATGCTCTTGGATGTGCTCATTTTCTCTTTGCACAGTTCAAATGATTGTAGCATTACAATCTGTTCATGCAACAGCTACAAGTCAGGTGACCTCACTTCAGTACACAGTCTGAAAAGAATGTTGTGCTCAGGACTCTAGCAGTGTCCTGTGTGGAATTTAGCCCTTTTATGGCCTCTGTGCTGTTTTTTAAGAAAATGATGGCTTTTGCATAGTCCTGCCAGCTGTTTTGGCTAAAGGAAGAGGTGGGGAATCTACAGCTCATAAGCCAGATGTGGCATCTGCCTATTTCTGCATGAGCAAAACACTGAATTTCAGGCCTGATATAACTTTTTGGTGCCACTGACATGCTGCACAGTTAGACAGCCACCAGATTAAAATGTGCTTTGGGGCTGAGATTGAAGGATTTCCCCACCATGCAAGCCAGTGTCCTCCCTGTGCCAAATATGATGAAAAAAGATTGCAAATAGTGGTTTCCTCCCATTTGCAAACATTTCTGTCTCAGAATAAATGGTTACATTTGCTTCTAGCAGCAAGATCCACTGGCAACATCCAGTTGTCAAGGGCCATGCATCCCTGTTGATTCTTCTGGACCTCTCGGTGGTCTTCAATATGGTCAGCCATGGCATCCTTCTAGAAAGGCTGGCTGAGCTGGGAGTGGGTGTGGTATTGTGCATCAGTGGTTCTGCTCTTACTTGACTGGCCAATTCAATAAGGCGTTGCAGGGAAGGGGAAGCATACTGATGTTTGGCCCAGTGACTTTCATGCTGCAGGTCTCCCATGAAGTTTAACATTTACATGAAACCTATGGGATAAGTCATCTAGGGATTTGGAGTGAGGTGCCACCAATGTGCAAATGACACCAAGTTCTATTTATCCATAACAGTTATGTGTGGTGCGTCTGTGGAAGTGCTGAACAGGTGCCTGGAGAAGGTAATGGGAGCACAGTCCAGACAAGACTAAGGTGCTATTATTCAATGGCAAACTGCTTGAGGACAGAGTAGTTAGCCCATCCTGGAAGGGGGTTTACTCCCTCTAAAAGAGGTCTGCAGCTTGTCACTGCTGGATCCTGGCCTATAGTCTGAGGCTCAGTTCTGTAGCATGTAGTAGCTTTTATCAGTTCTGGTCGATGAACCAGTTACAACCGTTAATCAAAAAGCATGATTTAGCCACGTGCTCTGATCACTCACAGGTTAGATTAGTGGAATGTGCCTTTGAAAATTGTCTGGAAACTTTAAATGCTTTATTGGGAGCTTGATACTGGGATTATCTAACCCTAGGATTTGCCAGTAACCCTGGCCCCAATGACAGTGAGAGTATTTGGGGGGCAGAGACTGGCAAAACAGCATCATGTGATTTTGCTTCTGGCTAAGAACCTGGAACTGATATTGCCATGCCACGTGGCACTCTATGGGCAAAAACCATAGAGACTGGGAACATTCCTAGAGTTTTGTGCACTGCAGTGACATCACCTCTGGATTCCTAGGTGGAAGTGACAGGGTATAAATGAAGTAGGCAAGTAAATAAATTTGCAAACAAGTCTCACTGCATCTCCTGTTCCTAACCATTTCACTTGTACAGGAGGAGAGTCACTGTCAGAAAGCTGACATGGGAAAGTACTGGATTTGGGGATGTTGATAGTTTCCCTACCCTCATCCTCCAAGTTCCATGGGAAAGATAGTATAGAAGAGGTTCTTTCAATGAAGAGCTCAGAGTATGTGACAGCAGCAACAGGTAGATGAGTCCTCTCTCCCTTTGTATGGTTCAAAATTCCAATTTCTGAATGAAAAGCAAAGGTACAATGTGGATTTAAAATATTCTCATCATTTGGTGAGCATGCCATTAGTAACTTCAGCTTGGTAGCATGTATTACCTGTCCATGTTGTTTGGTTAGTCAGAACAAAAGCTTTGCACTGGGAATGGCTCTCGCAGACTTCCATGGCTTCGTTAACATCAAACACAGAGAGAAGACATCCCTTGTGATGATAGGATGGCCAACATCTGTAATTCTCATTGACAATGATGGTTTCAGGAACCCTTCTATAGTCTACAATTTAGAAAAAAGGAAAGTAATAATTTAAAACATTCACTTCTTAAATCAACCATGAGACAAGTCAGGCTTTTTAAAAGGCTGTAAAATGCATTACTTTTTCTTTCACGCATCTTGCTTGAAACATTTGCCACAAAGAATATTTTGTTATGTTCATTTTGCTGAGGAGGGACACTGACAATACACTCTTCCCCAGCTTTATCCCTCTCCTCCTGCCCATCCAACACAAGCAGCTGATTTTTCTGGGGCCTTTATGGACCATGAACAACATCCACTCAAGTAAACCAGACAGTGAGCTGAACTGTCTGAACTGTCGTGAAGAGTTCCAATGAGGCATTCCCAGCCCCCCTTCTGAGGCAGGAGAGCGTGGCTGTTTTTCTCCTATTTTGTGAAGAAAAGATGGGGGTTTTAATTAAGCAAACCTTTTTTATTCCTTCCTTGAATTAATACAAAAGGGCAGTTGCTTGATGGGCCCCAGAAGAGAAAGACACAAGGGGGGGAGAAAGGACGCAAACTTTGGCTCTTGCCTGGCACCTCTCCGTTGGCTGTGGATTAACTGACCCCTTTGGCTGCCTTTCAGTCTCCCTCCTTTTATGAGCTCCTTTTTCTCGCTTGTTTGCCGCTCACAGCTCTCGTCCGTTTCCCAGCTGCTTGCGGTCCTTTCTAATGAATGCATCCACCAAATTAAACTAATCATTTATAAATATTTCTACTTAGCCCACAGACTCACAAAAAATTGCCAGGCACGATCACGAGCTTCTAATTGTACAGATTACAGAAACTGTATCGGGAGTCTCAGTTTCACGGCCTGCAAGTCTCTGAGTCGTTTCAGTTCAAGGGCTCTCGCCTGCAAGCTATGAAATTTCAGCCTGTCGACATTTGGGAAAGGGTTTCATAACGATGCTTCCAACATAACAGGCATGGGGCTCACTGTTGGCTGCAATTAGGTGCCTGCTCACCTGGGAAGAAGTGGGATTTGTCCCTGGTAAACAAGCATGGCATAAGGGCCACATAGCCTAATAGACAATGGATTGGCTAATACAACAATTGCTCTCCATTGGATTTAGTATGCATTCCACATGCTATCTCCTTGTAAAATCTTGTGATCCATTTGGTAAATGCAGAACCATTTTACACAGTCCTCAAGTGATTTCTTTCCCATGATGACAAAAATACAAAGGCATATCCAGAAAACATTCTGCACAGAGAGCAAAGCTATGTGCTCTCTGTGTTCTTTTATTCTTCAAAGTGAAAACTGTATACCAAAATAAAAGGTACTGTTGGCAACCTACATAAATTGTCCACATGAAGGATATTGGCTTGCTTTGCCTAATTCATTTTGCCTCTTTTACTCATCGGAAACAGGCCAATGGTTATGGAGGGCCCTGGGACGCCATGCCTGGAACTGATGCTCTGTGAGACAGGTGGGAGAGTAATGCTGAGATGAAATCATTGTAGGAAGCTTACTTTACCCAGGGATACATCCAGAAACATGACAGAAATATGACATCCACCTCACCTGCAGTCTACACTATAGGCTGTTTTTGGTCACCAACAGGTAGAAAGGTGAAGTATAAATGAAAATAGCCTGATTCATTGCTTCTGGCTCCTTATCTGGATAAATCTGGATAAACTTCTCCCTGCCAATGTACTATTGCAGGTTCCATTAATGTAATGTTCAATGAAGCTGAAGTGCACAACAATATTAAACCAACAGTTTGGAATTAAAATACACATCCCTCAAGACCTGGTCTACACATGCTGCTGAGTGAGGTAGACAAATGCTGAAATTATAGAAAGTACCATCTCAAACAATAGACAGGGCTATTCACATTCTACCCTTTCAGCAACCTGCCACTTCATATCATCTTATTCTCCATGTATAGGCCAGGCCTTAAAGGAGTACAGCAACATGTTGCCCCCCACCCCAGTAACACATGTACATTTTCTCAGCCTCCTCGCCTTTTCAAGAAACCATATTTCCAGAGCTGTCAAGCCTCCAGTCAGGCCAGGGTAAAACTATAGAGTTTTTGGTGATCCCTAGAGCTACTGTTTTCGCATCCAGCTATTCCACAAGAGTGACATCATGCTAGCAATGCCCTCCCCCTCCTGCCAGTTTCCAGGCTTGGCCTGGCAACCCTGCATGGCTCAAAGCCTGAAAACTGTAAAGTGAATGCAGTTTTCAGCCTCATCCATGAGGCAGCCTTACTCCCACTCCCCACTCTGAACCTGTGAGCCAGAAGGGTCTTGTGGCCATCCCCAAGCAATTCCAATCATTCTGTCAAATTCCCCCAAGTTCATGGGGAGATACTTAGGACCTCCATCCTGTCCAAAATGCCTTGCAATGGTCTGTTTCTCTGTTGAATACACAAACCAGTCAAAATCCCTTATTTTTAATATATTCAATCCACATGAAAGGCAACTGAGTATGAGAAAATCAATATGAAAGAGGTAGAGGGCAGGACGTCTGGCGGGATCCATGGTATGTTCCAATCCAGTATCACCAAAAGGGGTGACCAGCATTAAGCCTGAACTGCCACATTAATCATTTATAGCCCACTTTCCTCGCTGAAACGCAAGGTGAATGACAAAATATGGGAAACAGTCCAATCAAGAAACACAAGACATCCAGCAACAATGCAATAGGACTAGGATTACAGAAATCAGGAAACAAGGCAAGAAGAAAACTGTTGAGAGTACGACATACCATAAACAATGCAGCGAGTGGATTACGAAGGTACAAGACAGTGCAGGAAAAGCAAAATGATACATACAATAAACAGTGCAATGGACAATAATCCTATTTCTTTATAAACTTGTCCTCCTTTAGATGGAGCCTACAGCTCTCCCAAATTACAACTAATTGCCCGATAGGGTTTCCAAATCCAGCCTGGGAAATTCCTGGAGATTTGTAAGTGTGTGGAGAGGCAGCTTAGCAGGGCTGGAAGGCCACAGAGTCCACAGAGTCTACCCTTCAAAGCTGTCATTTTCTGCAGAGGAAGTGATCTCTGTCATCTGGAGATCAGCTGTAATTCTCAAAGAAAGCAACCTGGAGGTTGACAACCCTGTCTTCAAACCAGAGATCATTTCTCGTGAAGGGAACAGCAGCTTTGGAGGGCACACTCTAAGGCATCACAATGCTCCCTCTAAGATGTGGAGTCTTGTGAGCAAAATTTTTACTTTGTGAGCTACTGGCATTAAAGTTGTGAGTGAGCGATTTGACCACTGCATAAATTAGTTTGCTTTGGAGCCATCCTTCCTGAGCTAAGACAAAAATGTATTTTTAGCCGGAGACCACTGTTAGCTAGCTCACACTAACTCAGCTTAGAGGGAACACTGGCTGTGTTCAGACGGGAAGCTAATCCCGCCATTGGCCCAGCTTTAATTTGATCCAGATCTTTTTTATCCGGCAGTGCATGACCAGACAGCTCCCCTTACCGTGTGTATACTTTGCAGTGGATTGTCTAGATGGCGTCCACCTGAAGGAGCCACACAGTCAGTTTTTTTAAAAAAAATTATGTTTGTGCATGCGCATCCGCACCTCAGTGTGTTCTTTTTTTTCCACGCATGCACGTAATTTAATGGTGTCGCGCGTATACCCACTTATGCACACATCACTAAGATTTTCTTTTAATGGTGGCCATTCAGGATGGTCTGGAGTCAGACCATCTCAACAGGAGGACTGCGCGCTGGAATGATCAGACGGGGAAAGTCCGCCATTGGCCCATCGGCAAACATTAGCCCCAGACTTTAACTAGTATCTTTTAAATACGGCTCCCTGGCGGGGCTAAACGGGCTGATCACGGAAGCCGCACGTTTCCCAGATGTCAGTGTCTGATCGTTCCCTTTAAATCCACCAGGCACTTGTGCCTGGCGCAGATCTAAAGACCTGTCTGATCCCCACCACTGATCACAACTCTGCTGAA